CCCCAAAACCCCAAAACCCCAAAACCCCATAGCACTATTTTGCTAATGCATTGAGAGAAATTTACACAGATTGAATTAACACAATTAAATTATAGATAGCAGCTGCAATATTTAATTAAAAACTTGCAAGTTCTCTCAAAGATTATTCTTATTTAAAATGAGTGGATTACCACCACGGTCTAGATTCAACAATAACTCTATATCAAATTAAATAAATAATATACCAAGACCAAACTAGACAGGTATAAATGATGGAGGCGGGACAACACTTCCATAAATTAATAAAAGGTCAATTTAAATTCAGCCAAAACAAGCAGGAAAACATAACTTAAGATCATATTCATCAAACTCTTTGAATTAGAAAAAAAATGACTGAAATATCATGATAGCGTTAGAGGATGATACCTTAAGTGGGAAAATCTCCTATAAAATAATGAAGGCTTCCGTGCATACTCCAATTATATCAAAGCATAACATTTTCAAAACTGGGACTGAAATCAAATCAGGTGAAATATTAAAAGATCAAAAGTTGACTGACGCTTTTAATGTCGTTCAAAGTTAATTATCAACAACTATAAATGTGAATAATAGCACTTCCTCTCTTTTGCAAAACTAGAAAACCCAATCTTAAATCAAAGATGATGAGAAGTCTAAGATATACGAGTAGATGAAGCGATTTACCTAATCCAATAGTAAAAATTCTCTAAAAGACATAAGATTTAAGGAGGAAGCCTTTTACAAGCCAAAAGACATATTCCCAATTGACTATGATTAACTATATAATCCAAAGAGCACAGCTAAAAAGAAAAAATAGGAATAAGAATCTCCAGTAAAGAAAAGATAGGGAGGCATTAGAAGCAATCCTAAATCCGAGACTGGTTTGCCTAGGTTTGACGATTCTTAAACGTTAGCATTTGATAGAGGCATCTCTGGACTGTCCCCTATAAAAAACATGGCATTTAAAAACATGAATTATGACATTAAAGAGAGCAATTTGGAGCTAATTTCATCAGAGTCTTAAAGGAAAAGAGGTCCTCGTTAGCCTTATCATTTCAGAGTATAATCTTACGACGATAAAATAGCTAGCAGAAGAATTAAAAAAAATTATCCGTCATAAATTGAGCTTGAAGAGCTTAACATATTAAGGATTAAACAAGTAAAAGAATTAGATCAGTTTAAAGTAGTGCAGCTTTAAATTACTCTAGCTTAAATTCTCAAAATGATTGAGAGCTAGGAGAAGCAGCTAAGTAATAAATAGCAAAAAATTCTGTTGAACACTTTAGCTACTAGTTAAGCTCTGATGGTAGAAAATGTTATTAGTGAAAGTCAAAATCGGGTAAATCAGATCTAAAGAGATAAGGAGGAGATAGAGAAAATCAAGTTAAACTTGTAGGAATTACAAATAAAAAAGAGGATGCTTGAAGAGGAGATAAACAGTCTTAAGAGGCCTGATGATGTCGAGGTCAAGGTCAAGGTGAACCTTATAAAGAAGTTAAATGATAAGATTTAAAATTCTAAGTTACTTAAACAAGCTTCTCTTAATAAGAGTTTAGATAAGAAGGGAACCTTGCTACTGGATAATCTGAATAATGAAACTGAGAAGGAAAAGAAGGCAAAAGCTGATAAAACTTCGCTCAACTCACATCTCATCGACTACTTTAGTAAAATAAGACAGAAAAAAATTGATAAGGATAAGAATAAATGTAAGAAACCCAAGACTACAATGGAATTACTCATTAAAGAGCATGATAAGCAAAATAAGAATCTACTTCAGGTATTTGTAAACAAGTATAAGCAGAGTATAGTAGAGAAGAAGTCTTTGATTGATGGTAAAAGTGATTAACATGTGCGTAGAGCCAATGAAGATGAGGAGATCTGGGATGACCTGGTAATAGAGGATAGTAAATTGATACAAAAGCATAAATTGGTGTCGAATTTGAACTTAGGTGGGGCTAACGAAAGCAATTATAATTTGATAAGTGGCATGAATTTACTTTAGTACTCTCAAATGAATCTGCAAAATAATAATAAAATCAAATAGTATGAAGAAACAGTGGATTTTCCATAGATAGTGGCGAGGGCTCTTGATGAAGACTTAGAAAATGCAGGTGGTTTGGATGGTGGATTAAATGACGATATTAACTCTGTTGATTAAGATATGTCCAAAAGCACAGTTTTTCAGTATGCTTTTGACTTAAATATTAAAATTCTTTTGATTATAGATTGAGATAGTAGTAGAGTAGAGTTAGTAAAAACTCACTGAATGCTAGTCCTACTAATAGGCTTCATTCGAAATAGGCATCTTTTAAATCTGCTGTTGATAATTGCTAAATTATATTAAAAGATTTCCAGATAGAATATAAAAAAGAAATTGAAGCTAATGAAAAGCTAAACAAACGCTTTGATTTTCTTAAACTTATTAAGGAGTCTGACAGTAACATTAATATAATATATAAATTTAATAGACCAATGTAACGAGGATAGGAAATTGACTGAAGAAGAGGAGATTTAGATTGAATTTATCAAGCACTGTATTTAAAACAAAGTTTTGCCTCTCCCATTAGTTGATAAGATAAAGACAATGGGTCTAGCTCTCAAGAACTATGCACTTAATGGAGATATCTCATAGTCTTTAGCCGACTTGATTCAAGTATTTTTTAGACATTAACTGCTTTATAGAAATATGCAACAAAAGGTCATCTCTCTAAGATAAAATTGATAAACAATAATCTTTCTGATAAGAGTATGCCTTAAACAATTAATATTTACTATAATAGGTCTTTCTTAGATATTGCAAGGCATCTTATATTCTAAAAAGATAAAGAAACTCTGTATTAGTAAAAATGAAATAAGCAGATTGTCTGCGACAATTTTACATAACATGGTCAATATATCTCCACCTTAGTACTATAATTACCTGTATAATTATTTCAATAGCAATTTGGAGAGTTTAGAGATAATTGAATGCAAGACTAATTCAACTTCTTTAGAGATATTCTTGAGAAGCTTGCAAAACAGGTGTTATCTGAGGCATTTAAAGCTTATAGATATAAGTCTCAGCAATCAAAATCTAGATCAGATCTAGGACATTGTGAATAATCAGCAGTTCCTATATAAGCTCGATATATCATAGAATGATTTTCCCTAAAAAGGTAATAATGAAAATAATTATTATTCATTATAGTGTTTCTTGATTTTATGACAAAGATTGATTAAAATTAGAATTTAAAGTACCTGACTCTTAGTAAACTACCAATAAGAGGACCTCTGTCATTCCAAATAGTAGAGATAATATGCAGTTAGACAAGGCTAAATATGAATCTAATTCATCTAGATCTTTCCAATACAAACCTGCAAATCGATGAGTTTCAGGTGATTGGAGATGCAATGAAATAGTCTAAGTCCCTTCTAAGTACAAACTATTATAATTAATGTATTGATAGGTGTGCACTTAAGTGGGAACAGCATGAATAAGTAGATAAAAAAGCAAATATCTTAAAAACTGAAAATAATTGATAGAAAATCTGGCAAAAACAAGCATAACTATTTCAGTGGAAATAACAACAACAACTTCAGTGGGAGTAATAATTAGACCTAACTAAACGATGAATACAATCTTTTTGATGATGGACAGACACATGAAAGTGAAAATGATGAATTTTCAAAAAGTGAAGTATCACGATCCAACTCAAATATGAACCACTAGGCTTCTTAGAAATTTTAGTAAAACCGAGATATTTCTCAGATCAATTAAAGCGGGAACATGAGTTTCTTGAATGTAACTAAAGGTGGAATAGATAAAATCTTAATCAAAGAAAAGCCATAGTTTACCAATCGCAACTCTAAGGGAAGGTACTTTTCCATGCCCAAAGATCAAGTGATATTCTCAAGATTTCTAGGCCACTCTGAAATTTCTGAAGCCTATAAATGGAGCTTGCAAAATTACTGTCCAGTCTGTGAGAAATGGCAATATGTTATTTTCATTTACACTTAGAAAATAGAGCCCAATGAGGTATTCTAACTTTCAAGCTAGATCTAGAAATTTGTTTAAAAGAAGCCTGGGTTTTACAAGCAGCTTATTCCGAATACAGCAATAAGGGAGATAATAGATGGCTTCAAGTTGGATGTCAAAGTCACTGGGTCTTCAGAGATCACTTATCAAAAGAGCTTGGATATGATGTCACTGGAGGACTTTGTAGATAAACTTGAAGACAATATGGAATCTCATTATTAATTTGGTGAGAGATAAATACCCAGTGATGACCACGATCTGACTCATGTTAAGATGCGTCGTTAGAATAAAAAGAAACTCAGAGACAATGTGTACAAGGAACGCAAAAAGATACTTGACTTTCTAGCTTTGGCCTTTCGTCGATTTAAGAAGATAGGAGATGCTCTTAACTACATCAATAAGCTGCATGAAAGATCTACTCTAATTGAAGAGGAGCAAGCTATGTTATCCTTTAAGGATATAGACTGGAAAAGGAACTAAAAACTTATGGAGAGGTTCAAAAAGTTAGTAGAGGATCATAATCCAATCATCATATCAAACAAATTTGTGAAAGATGGCAAGTCTGTTGATCTTTAGGCACTGAGAGATGTTCTGTTTGATCCAAAGCAGTATAGTGTAGATGAAGAGATATATGTCTACGCTGCAATTGTACCTCCCGGAGTTCATCACATTCAAATGACCTCTTAAAGAAAATTCTGTTAAAATCACAGAGATGAGCAGACCAGCCTTGAGCTTTTGACCAACAATAATTTTATGCCAAACACCTACTCACTTACTCTGGATGTCCCGAAGCGAATCAAGGAACTAAATGTGTTCTATAAAAAGAAGAAGAAGCGCAGAGTCAATAGATACTTCAACAAGGATAGAAGCTGTTTCAGATACTGGAGGACAGATGATTAGCAAATAATCAATGATATGTGCGACAATGACTTCAGAAAAATGAAGTATCACAGAATGGTTCGATCTCCTACTGATGTAAATTATAATTCAATTTATCTGTTTAGTTAGAGGATTGCTATGAAGTTATTAAGAGTAATATCTCAAAGCTTAAAGAAATCTTCCTTTATATCACTAGCAAGTCTTCTTATCCAAACATTTCATGGTTGGATTTTTCATACTTCTGCTTTGACGTAAAACATTGCATTTTTATTTAGTATAGTTCAATATCCCTGATAAGTTCTGCACAATTTCTAAGATCGATATGGCATTCATTGCAACTAATGTAGAACTGGAACGTAATGATGACAACCCTGATAGAGATCTTAACAGAGCAGAATTCCTTGAGATCCTACTTAGACTAGCAAATGAGAAGTACAAGAAGTCAGGTCAGTGTGATAAATTCTCTACAGCACTTAAGAAACTCCTAAAGGAGAATTTGTTTGCTCACTACGACCCAATAATGGGTTACTAGGATTTTAGAGAAAAGATACTTTGGAATCTAGATGTGGATGATATCTTCAAGGTTAATGCTCCTGCTATTAGAAGACTATTTAACTGCAGCTAGGCTTAAAGCGTGTTAAAAAGATACTGGACTATGCAGGACTGCGTGAGCTTCATCATGATGAACTTTCCAAGCTTCGGTATAACTGAAAACAACTTGAAGCTATCATATGTATTTTCTAAAATTACAGTGATTGATGAGGACAATGAATCAAGAAGGTACAATCGAATGAGCTACGTAGAATTCTTGGAGTTTATAGGCAGAATAGCATATCTAGTTAAGATCCCAGAAATCGCCTAGAAAGAAATAACTTAGAGATTAAAGGATAAAGAAGAGATAGGGTTCCCTGAAAGATTAGAATACACTTTAGACTAGCTTTTGAATTATGTTAATTGTAAAAGAAAACCCAGAGAAAGTCTGAAGGATTAATATGATACTGATAGCGATTATGATTGATAATTAATGCTTCAAGCAAGTATACAGATTAAATTAGATTATTAAAAAGAAATTCCAAACGATTTATAAAAATTGGTATGAAGGGGTTTTGGGGTTTTGGGGTTTTGGGG